ATATAAGTTAAATAAGAGTACTTCAAGAGAAATAACAAAAAACAGATGATTTTTTAGAGAAAGAAGAGGTAAAAAAAAGTTAAAATTATATATAAAGACCTAATTATAATAAGAAGAGGAAGGGTGAGTATATCTCTAATAAAAAAAAATAGATAATAAATAATATTGCTCCAACTATAAATAAAAGCTTTGACAACTGTAGTACTAAATTAGCCAGAATAGGATACAAAGGCTTAAATAAGTTTATCTTAAAGATAGACTAATTTAAAGTTTGTAAGTCTTAAAGTATATATAAAATTTAGACAACCAAGTTAGAAGTTCTATTAGATAGAATTAAGGTTAGGATTAGAGGGTTTAAATAGATAACTTTCTAGTTAAATTGCAAATATGATAGCTAGTATAGAATCTAGAATAGACTATTTAATTAGACAACCAAAAATTATATATATAGCTAGTTATACTCTCACTATAGCCAAAGAGTTTAAATAGATAATCTTCTAGTTAGATTGCAGGTATATTGGCTAGTATAGAACCTAGATAGACTAGATAACCAAAAGTTATATATGTAGCTAGTTGTACTTTTATTGTACCTAAAACTAAAAACTTTTAATAAAAGGTTATAACAAAAGAGACCATTTTTAATATAAAAAAAAAAAAAAAATTAATAATAATAATAATTCTAATTAGAATATTGAAATTAATATAAAATAAATACAGATTAAATTGATTGAAGTTGTTGTTGATAGTTTTGATCAGATAGTCTAGTTTTTTAAAATCAATATAGAGTATAATGCAGTATAAACTATATTTATAATTGTAACAATGCTTGCATATTATTCTATTGGGAATAGTTTAAATAGCAGCTTACAAAATACAGTATTGTATTTTGTATCAAATTGTATCAATACTTTTAGATATATAAATATGTAAGAGAACATGTTGTTAGGAGAAGAGATAATAAATAAGGTTTGAGAATTAAACTCATTGATTAAAGGAGGTTGATTTGTAATCAAAGATTTTATAGTTGATATTGGTATAAAGACAAGAAGATTTACTAAAGATATAAAGAAATATCTAAATGAAGAAAAGAATTAATTAATCACTCAGGGTGCTAGTTTTGCTATTGTTAAGGTTGAAGTTAAAAAGAAATTATAAGTTAAATAAATTAGTTTAAATATAATCTATTTAGCTAAAGTTGGTATTATTAAACCAAACATGATAAATATTGTTAAGTTAAGCACCAATATCAAACAGATTTGAGCAATAAAAGAAGTTGATAAGTTTTAATTTGGTTGAAGAACTGTTAATATCATCATGTATTGAAATTAATATATATAATAGTATATAGGTTTTGTTATTTAGCTTAAAGAATCTAATTGATAATAGTGTTTTAAATAAAATTATATTTAGTAAAATTGGTAGAAAAGAGATAAACAAAAATAATATGTAGTTTAATATTGCTTTTGAAGAAGAGTTTAATGCAAAAGAATTTTCAAAATATATATAGCAACTGTGTATATAAAGTTTGAAATAGTCTTAAATTATAATAGTAATTTCTTTAGAAGAGCTTTCAGAATTGAACTAATAATAGATATAAAAGTTGTTATTGCAAAAAGAAAATTTGGCTTTGTAAAAGATTTTAGTTTTAGAAATACAGATAATAAAAATATTGTAGTTGGTATAGTAGTCTTGCTATAATTGTCTTTTAGAGTCTAAATTAAAATCTCTAATATTGTAGATTTCTATAGTAAAATTAGATAATTAGAAAAAGGTAATGGATTTGAGATAGATATATAATTAAAAGCATATGAGGGACTATTAAAGAAATAGATTGTCTAATATCAGAAGTTGGAGAGAGGAGTAGAAGTATTGTATTAAGTTGTTTAATAATTAAGTTCTAATTTGTAGTATTAAGTAGGTCTTCAAGAGGTATATAAAAGATATAGTTTGAAAGAATATATTTAAATAGCAAGTAGCATAGCAGAAGTTTATTTTGATTAGTTGTTAAAATACTCTAGAAAAAATATTGATTATACTCTAGACAAATTATTAGCCATACCCAAACAAGAATTTATTATTTACAAAACTTTCAAAAAATTAGTAAATACACTCTGAAGACATGCATTATAGCCTTATAATATATTAATTTGATTTATAATAACTACTTTAATTTATGTTTTACAATGTATATATTATTTTTTTGTGATAAATATATTAATTTTACAATAAATAATTAAGTTTCGCAATATATTAATAAATTTGATTCTAAGATATGTGAATATTTCTAACTACTACTACTATAAATATTGTATTTGCAAACTAATAATCTAAATAAATATAACAAAAAAAAGTATAATTTAGAATATAGTTTAAATACTATTATTTTAATTAGGCAAGCAAAACTGTTAAAACAAAATCTTACAACTTTTTACTTAACAATTGTTTAGATTGCCAAACTATCTTCTGATCTTTTAAAATTTTTATCTCTTATCTATATCTTGAAGCTTTTGTATTCTATTGTATTCTAGATTAAAAAAACAATAAAACTCTAGATAAAATACTAACAACTTAAGTTAGTTTCTATATTATATATTACAAAAAAAAACTTTTTATATAATACAATGATTTTTACTTATAAAAGTACTTTAAAAATTATAATTGACTATATAAAAAAAAAGATCGTTACCAATCATATTTAGTCTAATTTTAGCCAATCAAAACAAACTTTCACTATATTATAGCAAGTATATTTGTGCTTCTGTATATACAAAGTTATAATACAAGTATTGTTTAGAGAAATTTGAATATATTAGTTAGAGTAAAAATAAGAATAGTTTTCTCTGATATAGCAACAAAAAATGCTAATTAATTGTAGTTGTAGAAGTATTTGAAGTTTGCAGAAAAAAAAAATTTGTTATAGTATATAGTTGGGTCTATTTTCTTATAAAGATTAAAGCTATACATAGTATAGCTTCTTTCTTGATTAGAGTTTATTTTGTTTAGAGTATACTAATTATTAGAATCTTTTTCTGAAAAGTTTTTCTCTTCTAAAAATTTTGGTATTAGAAAAAAAATATTATATTGAGTATTTGTATTTAATTTCCAGAGTAAGATAATAATATAGATTCTGAAAATAATAGTATATTTTCTTCTATATCAGTTACTAAATATTTAGCTTGCATGGCTCTGCAAGATATAGAAGTCTTTTAGTTAAGCATTAGAAGACTAATATTATTTAATCTTCTAAGTATTGAGAGTAGCTAATACTTTTTGAAGACTACTTATAGCCTAGTTAACCAGACCTTTAATATCCTATTTTTAGATCTTAAATAAGTATAGAAGACAAGTATTGTGTTTTTATTTTTTATAAAAGTAAGGATATATAGTTAGAAAATTGTATTTGTATAAATATTTATATATATAATATTTATATTGTTTTTAAAATAGTGTATATATTGTTATACCTGTATATAAAATTTAATTGTCAAGTATCTAGACCTATATTTCTAGATATAGGTGCTTTGCTTTTATATAGATATATTATGTGTTTATACCAACTAGTCTATTGTGTGCCAAGAACTACAGACTATAGATTGTATTTCTTCAATCTAGCATATAACTTCTTAACTTCCTTTAGAATAAATATCATATTTAAAACTTGCCAAATACAATTATATTTTAGAATATTTTTTGGATTTCTATAATTTTTTGGACTTATTTTGAGTTTGCACTACTTTAATCAATTTGCATTCTTTTATATAACTTATGTATTCTATGAATATCAAACAAGTTTTCACATTATTTTGTACAACTTGAGTATTCTACAAACTATATGATATAATCAAGGTTACAGGCCCTAATAGCTTAATGTTAAAATAGCTCAAAATTTGAATTTTGTTTTTAGTAAAATTCAAACTCTGAATATGCTATTTGGTGGGATAACAACTAGACCACTTCACACAGGCCCAAAGTATAAATATCAGATATCCAATAGCTAATAATAGTTAACTATTTGTACCAAAAGTTTGATCTATATTGGCAATATGTTAGTCAAAAAATATCAGAAGTATATTAGGTAAAAAATAAATATCAGATATCCTGATATTTATTCTTTTGCCTGATATGCTTCTAATATTTTTTGAAATATTGCCAATATAGATCAGATTTTTGGCACAAATAGTTAACTATCATTAGCTATCGAGTATCTAATATTTATGCTTTTGCCTTGTATCACTAAGCTGCCACACTCCACAAAGCTTTATAATAAGATATAAAATATTGTATTTGTTATAAATTTTTTTTTTAAATCTAGTATAGTCTATAATAGTATTTCTTTTTAGTTTCACTTTTTTTTTTAGTTAAGAGTAATCTATAATTTTTTTTTGTTTTTTCTTTTTCTACTTCATGTTCTTATTAGTATCTATAGCTATTTTTCTCTTTATTTTTCTTTTCTTTTTTAAACTACCTAGTAATATATAGTTATAGTTCATTTATATATATATTTTTTTGTTAAGCTCTATAAGAAAAAGGAATTTAAAAAAAAAGAATACTTAGGCCATTAGACATAGCCTACTAGTTTATCACTTTTAGATAGATTAGTGCAAGCAGATTGTATTGGATATTTTTTTATAATATTTGGGTAATATTAGACTTATTAAATTAGATTGATGTTCTGAATATCTTTAAAAAATATTTTACAAACTATATCTAATAATGTACTAGCACGACTGCCTAAGCTGAAAAAAATAATAATTATTATTCTGTCAAAAATGTGCTAAAATTTAAATTTTAATTAGCAAAATTTTTTTTAACTAATTAAATGCAGTTATTAAATAAATAAACAAAGTACAGGATTTGTAGTTTATTATATCAAAAAAAAATATAAATAGCAAAATTCTATACTTTTGTTATAAGCCTCTATTATTAAGATCAATATATTGGAATTATAATAATTATTATTGAAACAATAAAGCACTAATAGAAAAATCATCGAAAATTAGCTAATGACTAACAGAAGCGCTCGCGCAGCCAATTGTGAGTGGATCTGGTTCAGGTTCTTCAACAGTAACAGAAATGAAATAATTTTTAGGTAAAGCAGGAATATTAACATCGGATACATGTATCGAAAATTGGCTTTTAGCAGCATATGATTGATCGAATGGTTTATTGTAAACGAAAAATGTAGGTTCTCGGTAATTCTCAACGTCTGAAAAGCTTATATCAAGAAAAGTTTTGTTTTTGGTGATATCATATAAAGTAATTATTCCGGATACATTAAATTTAACGAGTTCATTACCACTAAGAGTTTCAGGAACCATTTCCACAATAAGAGGGTCAATAGGAAAATTATTAGGACAAGGTCGGAAGGTGATAGCTCTTTTATTAGGTTGAAATGGAACTGCATTTACAGTAAGAAAAGTAGCAAATAAACTGAACACAAAAATAAAATTCTTCATGATTTCTTAGCGAAAAAGATAGGAATTTTTTGGGGATTGTATTTTTTTAATTCAGATGTTTTTTCTTGGTATGAATATTGATAATTTAATGTCCTTTTTATAGGAAAAAAGCAATCTTCAAAATCTATGAAAATCCCACGTTTTCGTCATTTTGAAAAAAATTCAATAAAAGGTTAAATTCATCACACTGATCTTCTAACGAATACAATTTTGTATACGTCGTGCACATTAATTACTGGCATAGTTCGGATGTGCGATATTATATTCATTGCAATTTACAATATATCGAGAGAATATCAATATAAAGACATAATATCCCTTTTGACATCAATTTCGTACAAAAGACATTTAAATTCGTACAAAATAACATTCAATTTTGTACGAAGTGACATTTTATTTCGTACTAGATGACATTTAAATTAGTGTACAAAATGACAATTAATAAGTATTTTTAAACTGTGATATCTCATGATTTATTGATCCAATTTGGATTATTTTGGTACCTTTAGGATCCTCTCGATGAGATGATTTAGTGATACCAAAATCACCTAAATTAGATCATTAAACCACGAGATATCACGGTTTAATCAAAACTATTTTAATTGTTATTTTGTACAGATTTGAATGCTAGTTTGTCCGAATTTAAATGTCATTTTTTACGAAATTGAATGCCACTTGTACAAAATTGAATGTCATTTTGTACGAAAATAAATGTCCTTTTGTACGAAATTGATGTCAAAAGGGATAATCGGAAAGAAATCTTAATTATAAATTGTGAATAGAAATTTGGGATATATATTTTGTAATGATTATAATAGCAAGTGCAATTGAAATAAGCCATTTCTTCATATATTAAATTAGTTTGTAAGTACTATACAGAAACTTTGAACCTCTTAATGCGCAGTAACTGCATAGTAACAATGTGGTTACTATTAAATTTAATAGTAATTATGTAATTACTATGTAGTTACTACGCAGTTACTGCATATTAAGATATTTAAGTTTCTGTAAAGTATAATTTAAATAAAAATTTCACTGTTTCGTAAGTTTATTATGATATGATTATAAATTACTGCCATTTCAGAAATTAATAATCGGTAGTATTTTCATTCATGTGTAGTTTGCGGATCAAAAAAAAAAAAAAAGAAAGAAATTGCCGATTTCTTAACATTACTTCTGATGACATGTACATCGACTAATATTATATATTTATTTGTATACATTTTTTTAAAAAAAAAAATCTCTAACGAGCAAAAATTATTATCGCGGAACATGCTTTGGATGCGCAAAGTGTCTTTTTTGTACAATTTCCAAAACTTATTGTAACTGTGAAAAAAGATATTTACAATAAAAATTATACTAAAGCTCCTTATGCGTTTACTTTGCAATTTCATGATCTTTCCGGTAATAAACAAATCAATTTTCTTGAATCATGTAATAATTCTTATAAGGTTGAATTTGGTGCTCAGCATGCAATAGTAAATTTTTCTAAAAAGGAATCAAGATTTAATTATACACAATCTAATTCTTTACAACTTGCAAATTATATTCTTACAAAAGATGCAAATCAAAATATGTTACAAATAATGAATTTGCAACTTTTATTCCTGCAAAAAAAAAAAAATAAAGAATTCAGAATTCAGAAAGCATATAAGAAACTCGTAACCGTAGATTCCGAAATCATTGTTACACGATTATTTATATAGTCAATTAAAATTTGTTATACGGTTGTAGTTAAAAACCGGCAATTTGCTTACCCACAGTAAGTTAAACTAAAGGTACACACATATATTAATAAAACTTTTTCATTTTGAGTGTAGAAAATCTTTTCTAATCATTTCAATCGCTTTCCCCAAAGAGTTTTCATAAGAATAAAGGTAATTGGCAATGTTTACTAAGTTTCTACACGTTTAAATTATAACTTAAATATTAGATTTATAAATTGTTAAACCGTGAATATTATACTAATATAAGATTTTACGCCTTTATTAAATAGGCTAAGCAATATAAAACGTTAACCAAGGCTTATTTTACCCGAATAAAGGCATATGTACTATTAACAAACAAAAGGGAAACCACGATCCCTAATATTTAGTAAACACGGTAGTGCAATCTAACTATTAGTATAAACTAAGGGTAAATAACATATAACATGTTTTTTGGTCAAATGTAATGATTAATAAATCGAGTAAAATTGCTTTAAAGTTAAAAGTTTCGCTTTTGTTAATTATAATAGTTATTTCATTATATTTTTGCATATCGAAAGAATTTTTTAATTGATTTGATTGGTCAATAATTATGCTTTGATCTACATAAATTAACCAATCACAAAGTTGTTATAAATCGTGATTTTTCGAGTTTCTTATATGCTTTCTGAATTCTGAATTCTTTATTTTTTTTTTTTT